CGCTCTTTATTTTAGGAAATTATGGAGATAGTAGACAGTAGAATTGTTCTCTCACTCATCAGATAAATTAAAAATGGGTGACTCTATGTTGGTCACCAAAATTTTACTTCTTAAAATTAGTTCATAAGGGGCTGGCAAGTGGTACGGAGGTTAAGGTAGCTGGGTCCCATGCGATCGACTAGGTGACTCAAGTCCTAGACCCAGGACCTGAAAATCACACCAGGCACATGTATGCATGTGCCCCAAATCCCAAAAGAATGAAGAGGGGATTGCAGCGTGGCCACCTTGCCTGGGGATGATCTCTCACTTTCTTTCTCCATCTCTCCCTCCTTCCCTCCAGCATGTGCATGTACCCTATACCAAAAAAGAAAACCTAAAAAAAAAAAAAAAAAAAAAAAGCTCTCAGAAGAACTGATGTAAGAGTCAGGTCCTGAGGCCAGCACTCTGAGAGGCTTTAGGAACATTCAGAACATTGATGCCTACACTGAGTGTCTCCTCTTTTGGAAAGAAAGGCTGGCATGCCCAGCACCACACTCTCTCTGCAGTCTGGAACTCGGCTAAGTTTCTATGATTCCGGATGTAAGATATCCATGAGCTGGATCCCACATGGCTGTGTGGTTTGAGTCCTGGACCCGGCAACCTGAAAAACACAGCAGATGCATGTGCGTGTGTGCCCCAAATCTGGAAAGGAGATGGAGAAGGGACTGTGACATAGTTATTCTCCATAGGAGGAGGTGCTTTCTTGCTTTCCCTCCCTCTATCTCTGTCTCTCTCCAGCAAATGCACATCCCCTCTGGCAAATTAAAAAAAAAAAATCTAAACCACAGCATGGGCAAGATAGAGCCATCTATCTTAAAACTACAGTTTGAGGATAATACATTTTGGGTCTCATCTGTTATTTAAATTAATTGTGAAAGAACTTCAAATATGCAATAAGGCAAGAGAAAAGGAGTGAGGCTTCCTATAGTAAAAAGTCATCCTTCTGGGACAGCCAGGTAGCATGGTGGTTAAGGTGGCTGGATTCCACATGGCTGTTTATGCCTGTTTGAGTCCAGGACCCAGTGTCTTGAAAATACACCAGGCACATGTGTATGCATGCCTAAAATCCCAAGAGGAGAATGAAGAAGGGATTG